GATCGGATGGTATAACAGTAATGATCCAGCCATGCTTTGAAATAAAATTATTTTTTGACCTACAAGCATACTTTACATGTATTAATGAATTCGTAGGCATAAGTTTGAGAGCATTTATGAATGTCTCCATCTGACAAAGCACACTTCAAAGTTTGGTCTCTGTGTGATAAAATAATGCTTACATATGTCAGAGTTTAAAGATCACCTAAAATAAAGCGTCGAACTCTTTCTTCAGATAGATAGTCATACAAAATCTAATAGCTCACTGAGAGCACTACAGTAAGTTGCGTACAAAACATTCGTTGATGGCAGACGACAAGCAATGACAAAAACATCACAATAGTTGAAAACGGCTAAAGCGATTGCAAAGGACATAATCAGAGTTGACTGTAATTTCTCCGCTTTCCACGAGGAGTTTGAATTATGGCACAGTGCCAGGACCGTGTGATCCACGTGAGCATGACGAGTCTGCTTTCACTATGAGTTATAAGCTCACAGTTTTCAGTTCACAGAAAGCATTGAAATGATGTAAGTTACCCGATGTTAGCCAGTGTTCTTGCATAGCAACAACACCGGGCCAGGCTGATATTGTCTGATTGATGTAATTCACCACTATAGTAGTCCACGTACATTCCATGTTAACAGAGAGAAGTCGTTATATTGTTGACACTGTGGAATAATGGTATTCTACTGGCTGATAACGTTATTGCGCATCATGATATCAATACTTGTTGCTGTACGATTCACTCGTCATTATGAGCTTCTGTTTCTTGGAACATAGTCTCTCTCACCGGATTCAAGGTGGCCAAAAAGTCTCTATTACCGGAAACATAGTCCCTCATAATCGTCAAAATCGAGAGTTACTTGTACAGTGCGTAATGTATCTTGATAGTTGGAACGAACATTTTTCTTCATTAGCCTGACAAAGGTCACACGCACATTTTGATCATGAGTATATTCATGAATGAGTTCCTTTACTGAATCGAACGACTCCTCAGCACTAATGTTATACAGTTAACAAGACGTTTAGTTTTGACTCTGGGGAACACCTTGAAGAGCATGATATCGTTTAGAGAGTGATCTGATAGGATGTGTAGTATTGTTCTTTACCTTATTATCACTCTTGTCTACGTTGTTGTTGTTCCGTTTCCGTGATGGGTGACGATCAACTTGGTTTCAGGAATCTGTGTGTTGTCTGTATGTCCTGGATCCATTGAGGGGAAGTCAGCGTCGTAGTTGTCGTATGCAGAAACATGGTGTTCCTGTTGTCCTGTGGTGGATGCGCACTGTTGTCGTTGATCTGACTGGATATGACTGGAATATGACGGGGTTCAGGGTTGGACGTATTAGTTTTGTCCTTCTCCAGACTCGCGCGATGTTTGCTCCACCGCTGTTTCACTTTGTTCTGTTGTTGCAGGTGTCGTTGGTGTCGAGTCCGTGTTCGAGGTAGATTCACTGTTAAGAGATCTACCTTTTACTTTGTCATTACAGTTCTTTATTTGACTAGAGAGGCTTGCAAATTTAGCATCAATTGTCTTTAATTTGGCATCGACAGAATAATTTGTTCTAATAGTTCACTTTCTAAATGTAGAATGTGATCTCGATATGATTTATTTTCTTGACTATACAGTTTCAGTTCGATCTCAGTTCTGACCTTCTGTTTTCAGAGTCACTGAGCTTAGATTGTAAAGGGTCTGATATAGATTTATCCTTTTCCTGGATAGTCTCATTTAATCTCATGATGTGATCAGAAAATCTACTTTCCATACACTGTACCCTTTCCTCCAACTTGCTTTGTCCACGAGAAACAATCTGTTTCAACTGTACAATGTGGCTAAGTATGGAACACGTTGAGTCGTTTGTCTCACCTGAAGCTCGTTCAGTGGGAGTAGTCGATGATGAAGATGTGCTGTTGATCTTGATTGGTGTATTGACGTTGGTGACGTCGTTGGCTGTTGATGGCGTACCTGGTGTCGACATAGATAGATGTCGTACACTTGCTCTGCTTGAGCACCTTAGTTTGCAGGACATGTGCAGGAATAGTACCTTCAATGTAATGATATAGGTAGTACACATCTTGAGAGCACACTTGTATATGGCCGGCGCTGTTGTTGCCCGGAGTATTTTTTTCTTCTCACAAGTAGACCAGCTGGAAGTTAACACACGTCTGCTTGGCGTAGTCATACAAACTCTCTCTTACATCATTTATTTCTTTTATGTGGTGGTTGTATATGTCTTGAATGCTGTCAATAAAGCTATCTTGTCTTGTCTTTAGAACCAAGTTTAGCTTTTATTTCCAAGTAGATTGACTTTGTCAATCTCATCACACGGCTGGGTGGTGTATATGTCTTCATTGTCCATGTCATCAGCCTCACCTATTGTTTCACATACATTGTTCTCGCTGTTCGAGACGTTCGAGTGTGCAATTGAAATTACCTTTAGATAATGACATGGACTAAGTTTAGACCAGGTACATACGTAGACCCAAGTTGACATGGATGCGACAAATGGTGTTGATACTCACCTGCTGGTTTGTGACGACGAGGGAATCGATCCTGCCGATAGTGGGCCTACCTTGCATTAGGTGATACATGCCAGCTGCCACACTCAGTTGATCTTGCAGACAGTGGAACAATGCTGTATAAAGTGATACACGTCTGCTGCTATAGTGACGACGGAGCGTTGCTTTTACAAATAGTTAGTAATTCGGATTGACTAAAATGACAAAAGCGCTGACCTTGCAGATCATGGACCTCCCTTGTGTAAGGCGATAGAGGACAGGGGTTCTAATGACAAGGACGCTGACCTTGCAAATCGTGAACCTACCTTGTGTAAGGCGATAGAGGCAGCGGCTATAATGACAAGGACGCTGACCTTGCAGATCGTAGTTCATGGGGCCTATCTTATGTAAGGCGATAAAGGCAGCGGCTATAATGACAAGATTGCTGACCTGGTAGTTCATGGACCACTGACATTGCTGACCTTGCAGACAATCGACCTACCTTGAGTAAGGTGATAGAGGCCAGCTACTATAATGACGACAAGAGCGCTGACCTTGCAGACAATCGACCTACCTTGGGTAAGGTGATAGAGGCCAGCTACTATAATGACGACAAGAGCGCTGACCTTGCAGACAATCGACCTACCTTGAGTAAGGTGATAGAGGCCAGCTACTATAATGACGACAAGAGCGCTGACCTTGCAGACAATCGACCTACCTTGAGTAAGGTGATAGAGGCCAGCTACTATAATGACGACAAGAGCGCTGACCTTGCACACAATCGACCTACAGCGGGTAAGGTGATAGAGGCCAGCTACTATAATGACGACAAGAGCGCTGACCTTGAGGCCAATCGACCTACCTTGAGTGATAGAGGCCAGCTATATAATGACGACAAGAGCGCTGACTTGCAGACAATCGACGACAGCGGTAAAGAGGCGCTGAGACCTTGCACACAATCGACCTACCTTAAGTTAGGTGATAGAGGCCAGCTACTATAATGATAAGAGCGCTGTAAGGTGATAGAGGCGCTGACCTTAGAGGCCAGACCGACGACAAGATGACCTTGCAGTCTGGATACTCCGGCATTCCAACACGAACGCTATAACAGTTACAGGCCACAATGAAAGCTGTGGAAACAAATGGAAAGAGTTTTTTTTATAGAGCTTGGTGTTATTGGCCTGACCCATAATGTAACATTATACATAAATCTCCCCGATGTAATGCTTGTCAACCTAAACAAAAGACCCAGGGCTCCGCGATATCTCACGTCAGCCATCTATCACAAGAACATACTGACTGATGCCACGACCCCTTAGAACCTTTGATTATCAGTTTCTGGTGAGAGTAAGGGACACAGTTCTCTTGGATTACCGCTTGGTCACCCGCTCTACCTCAATTTCCATATATCTGGAATATTGCTGAGTGCGGGGTAAAACTCAACTCACTCACTCAGTTTCCTACAGGTTTAATATGAGATTAATATGACGGATAATAGATCCTTTAGGTCTTTTACGAAGTTGACAAGATTTCCTTGACTTCTCCTATAATACATTTCTACAGTACCATGTATTAGAATGGCTTTCAATGGACTTCCGCAACCTCGTCTTAATTTCAGGAACAATATAACGTTTTGTTTATTGAAAGTCATGCCAAAAATCGGTGACGCTTTTTAAATTCAAACTTAAGAAAGTATTTTTTTATCTACCACTTACATAAGATAACTGTAGCAAGCAGAACTTTGGCTGACTTTGGCGCCAAGTCTGGGCACTCCAGATAGAAAGGCCTCATGATGTATTCAGCAGTGACTAGACACCCCAATACGGCCGCTAAAGGGCGCACAACAAACAGCTGAGCCCACAACACAGTGAATCCGGCCATGTCTCCAAAGGCTGCTCTGACGTAAGTATAGCTTCCGCCAGATTTCTTAATACGAGTACCTGAAACAGCAGACCAACACAGGTCATCGCGAGAATGTGTTTCGATGATGACGGCAATATCGTCTGTATTATGAAAAGGCATTGTATTTAGTGAGCCTTGTGAGCAATGAAAATTCTTTTGTAATGGGCCATGTAAGAATGACATTATATGATATATGACGCTTGTGTATAGTGGTAAATACCCTTAGGAATACACATATTATTTGGCAGGTCTTGTCATACTGACATTCTTCTTGAAACTTAGATTTATTTCACTTCAACTGTTACCCAATTGCAAAACAAAAATGTGTGTTGTGTCATCGAGTGGTCCAAATTCTATCAGTAGATTGAAATGACGAATTCAGATGTCAGTTAAGATCGTTTCTAATCTGCATATATGTATCCTGTGTGGACGTAAATCGTAGTTTTCACACCAACATTTGTACAACTTCAGTGAGCCTCGATTAAATCAAATACGAAGATGTCTAGCTGGCATTAATGAAACTAGCATATGAAAAAACAAAGTAATCTTTCTACTGTTTTGTTCACAGTACAACACCACTGCAACGTCATTAAATTTTTCCGATGGAAAGTTCAGGCATCGTGACGTTATGACGTTATCGTACTTAACAGACTATTGTTCGTCATGTTTCCAGACTGAAATATATTGCCACACTTTCAGTTCAAATTATCGAAACTACAACTCGTCACTGAACAACGTTAACGATGTAAGCATACATGTTTACAAATGTTTTTGCGAAAGAAGTGATTCTTTATCACGGTCCATATTATCTCTTGCAAGACTCTCTCCCTGTAGGGATCGACCCAAGTTTACCACATAACAATAAACTGTCCCCTACAGAGTTGAAAAACAGATTTCAACACTATTTTATTTCTTACCGATTTGGGCACCAAACTGTTACTGACAAACACTTAGCAAATTTGGTATTTCTGCACTTATCTACCACCTACAAAATTTGGAGACCATACCATTCCCTTCTTGATTTGTCACTTGGGTACCACCTACCGAGTTCGGCGTAAGACAAAGCTCCACAGTAGCTTATGAAGCCACAAAACACCCACACACAGATGGAGAGCCCTAGAGATGCTCCAGCACCAGCCAACACCGAACTTGGGCTGACGAAGATGCCGCCTCCTATGATGCCGCCGGTGACGTAGCTAATGGCGCTAATGACGCCGAGCTGCCTCTTAAGTCCAACTGTCATGTTGATGCTGTCAAAGTAAATACATAGGGAGAGTGACAGGGTTTTGAATTGCGGCTAAATATAAGTTATTGCTGGGGTAACAGATATTGTTCGGAAATGTCACCAGTATTATTTGACTTATGCCATGTGTTCATGTGTTCTTTTCAGATGAACAATCGACGGGCCTTTGCAACTATTTGCGACAGGTGCGCAGGATGGCACATTCCAAGCTCACCTTTAAGCGAACATTCATACCCAGATCCTCATGACATAGTATTATTGGCATAAACGACATATTTTAGCAGAAGTTTCTTTAAATCCCTTTGTAGAATGATTACTTGTTTTGTTTATCGTTTAACGCCGCAAAATTCCATCTTTATGGAGGTAGTCTGAAAAATATTGAGTCTAGATCAGACAATCCAGTGATCAACATCATGAACATCGATATACGCAATTGGGATACGCAAGCCTGACCACTTGGTAACGACAAGCATAGGTTGGTGAAGACCAATTCTAACCAGGATTTTCACAGGTCCTTCAGTGAATAGGTACCAGGGGAGAGAGAGTCTTTATTTCCTCCAGACGATCATCCGAAGATCAAACATATTATATATATGTAAATACAAGAAAGGGGGCAAAGTTACAAAAATTGATATAGATGTATATACAATTATATTAATCAAGATGATTACCTAAAGCTACAATTTACATAAGAACTTACATTTACATGTTTATACAATTAATTTATACAAGAAACTTCATGAGCATCGATATACGCAATTGGGATTCGCAAGCCTGACCACCTGGTACCGAAAGCATAGGTTGTCGAAGACCAATTCTAACCAGGATTTTCACAGGTCCTTCATGGAATGGGTACCAGGTGGTGTCATCAATGATTTTTCAGCGTACCACGCAAATAATTTTCATTATGCCCAGTGGCCCATTGTCACTCAATGAAAACTATTAATAGTTCCATGGAAACAGAGCCCATATGTCAGTTTTATGCTTTTCACTGGGTTCTATTTCTATTCTTGTCCCCATTCACTCCAAACGATCGGAACGATGCGACCATTCACCAGAGGACAGCCACCATATAGCTGGAATATTGTGAGTGCGGCGTAAAACTAAACTCACTCACTCACTCTTTCATCCACCAGAGAGGGAGACCTTAACACATCTTCAGTCAAAGCTCAACGCTGTTTAATCAGCCTTCCAGCAAAACAGATTGTAAACCATTCCATGAACCGGCAGGTGCTTAACCTCTCCCTTACATTTACACACTCGTTACTGACAGCAGTTTACATTCAACATACGTTACGTATATTTTCCATTTATTATTGATTCTAAACATATTGTTTGAATAAATGTTATCACCATCACAAGTATAAACATTTTCAAGGATCTTAATCACTGATATGTTTTTTTGGGTACGTTTTGTTTAAAAGGTGACAAATGGTTGCATGTTGTTGACAGTTATGTTTTTCACGTTGAGCTGTTCGCAGTCGGTGTTTATATTCACGACGTACAGCATGCCACAATATAATCATGTTCATTTTAACGCCTAGCAAGAGAGGCAAGAAAGAAAAAAAGGATAAATAAATCACTTGGAAAAATCAAAGAACAAATATGAAACAACATTGTGTGGGTATTGCTTATAGAAAATAGGAATCGGGAAGGAATCGCATCGGTTATGTTAACGATAGTAGGAATGCCAATTAGCCTCATTCCGCAAGTTTCCTTTTCCTTGTATTTGTGTATTGCACTAATGGATTATGTCATCTGCGGAATGTTCTATCATATCGTGTGTCTAGACGTCTATAAACGAAAAGGCATGTGAACATAACCACTACACGCTGTGGTCGGTAGCGGTGTTGTTTTACATGTAAATGTAGCACGACGGTGCCTGAAATGGTCTTATCATATCAAGTGTTTACACTTCTATGTTAACGTAACCGCTGTTGGAGTAATGATGTTGTTTTACATGCAAACATAGCACGACGGTGCCAGAAAATAATTACAACAAGTCGCTGTTAACCCACGAAACAGGTGCTATTGGATGTAAATGGCATACAAACGTGGTCACAAAATATCAGAGTGATGACATCAGGTCTCTTGGTATTGTCACAGCGTGCAATGTCATAGCGAGTTACACTACGTATATGCACCATCATGTAGCATTCTGCATGCATGCAAGGCTGACCAGGAAGGTATAGTCATAGTCTTATCTGTGTTGGTATTGTCATAGCCTGAAGCGATTAGGCAAGCTAACCATTTAGATATTGTCATGGAATAAAGCGTGCAGGCAGGCAAATTTCACCAGGTACACATTGTCATGGGATGCAGCGTGTAGGCATGTCTGATCAAGTACACCTTGTCATGGCATGCAGCGTGTGGGCAAGTTTAACCATGTAATATTGTCATGTTATGCAGAGTTGGCAAGTTAAACCATGTATATATTGTCATGGCATGAAGTGTGTTGGCAAGTTAAACAATGTACATATTGGTATGGCATGCAGAGTAGGCAAGTTAAAACATGTACATATTGTCATGGCATGAAGTGTGTAGGCATGTTAAACAATGTACTTATTGGTATGGCATGCAGAGTAGGCAAGTTAAACCATGTACATATTTTCATGGCATGAAGTGTGTAGACAGGTTAAACCATGTACATATTTTCATGGCATAAAGTGCGTAGGCAAGTTAAACCATGTACATATTTTCATGGTATGAAGTGTGTAGGCAGGTTAAACCATGTACATATTTTCATGGCATGAAGTGCGTAGGCAAGTTAAACCATGTACATATTTTCATGGTATGAAGTGTGTAGGCAGGTTAAACCATGTACATATTTTCATGGCATGAAGTGTGTAGGCAAGT